GGAAGGGGCCGGGGCCGCTGCTGAGCCGCCTGGCCTCGCGTAGCCAGCTGGAGCTGGTGCTCTGCGCCGTCGCCGTCTCCCTGGCCCTGCTGCTCGGCGTCGCTGTCATCGCCCTGGCCGTCCAGTACCGAAGAGGTAGGGAGGGGCCCCTGCAGCCCTGCTGGGGTGGCGGTGGTGTCCCCACACCCGGGGGGGACACAGCAGGATTAGGGAGGAATGGGTCAGCTCCTGCTCTGGGTGCTCTGCCCGCCCCAGGGTGCAGGCAGGGCTTGGCCCCGCTCCGTGCCTCGGTTTCCCCTGGCACACGTGCACAGCCCCGGGCATGCCTTCCCTGCCAGATCCCTCTCACAGCACGTGCCTGACCGATGCCTGCGTCCGGGTGGCCAGCAAGATCCTGGAGGCCCTGGATGTGGAGACAGACCCATGCCAGGACTTCTACCAATACTCATGCGGGGGCTGGATCAAGAGGAACCCGCTGCCCAACGGGCGTTCCAAGTGGAGCACCTTCAACAGCATCTGGGACCAGAACCAGGCCATCATGAAGCATCTCCTAGGTGGGCACTGATGGGCTCATGGACACTGGGGTGTGGATGACCTCCAGGCACAGACGGGCAGAGCCCCGGTGTCCCTGGGGCTGACCGCAGCCTCCCACAGAGAACGCCACCTTCAACTCCAGCAGCGAGGCGGAGCGGAAGACGCAACGGTATTACCTGTCCTGCCTCAAGGAGCAGAGGATAGAGGAGCTGGGCTCCCAGCCTCTCATGGAACTCATCGACAAGGTGGGCGGCCATCCACATGTGAGCCAAGCTGTCGGGGCTCAGCTCGTCTCCCGCTCAGCTCTTCACATAACCGGGGAGGGGGAAGCTCTCGGGGACGGACCCCATCCCTCCTTGAGGCGCCAGGTCCGTCTGCCAGCAGATCGGGGGGTGGAATGTCACCGGCTCTTGGAACCAGACCAGCTTCATGGAGGTACTCAAGATGGTGTCAGGCACATACCGGGCAACCCCGTTCTTCACGGTGTACGTGGGTGCAGACTCCAAGAGCTCCAACAGCAACGTCATCCAGGTTGGCACCTTGGCACCGAGGGGTGGCAGGCACTGAGGGGGCACCAGGCTGCCCATGCTGCCTCTCTCCATCCCCAGGTGGACCAGTCGGGGCTTTTCCTCCCATCCCGGGATTACTATTTGAACAAGACCGCCAACGAGAGGGTGAGGCTGAGTGCTGGGCACACTGCCAGCAGCAATCATGGGAAACCCATGGCATTGGGGTGCGAGCAGCACTGGGGTACACCTGGCACCTGCACCCTGCCCATCTGGCAGCACAGTGCCCAGGCAGCAGGTTGGAACCCCCCTGGGGAGGGGGGATGAGCTGCAGCTGGCACTGAGCCTGGGGCTCGGGGTCCCACCAGGTCCTGGCAGCATACCTGGATTACATGGTGGAGCTGGGCACGCTGCTGGGGGGTGCCCCGGAGCCCACCCACCTCCAGATGCAGCAGGTACTGGACTTCGAAACCCAGCTGGCCAACATCACCGTGCCCCAGGCTGAGCGGCGGGATGACGAGAAGATCTACCACAAGATGAGTGTCGCTGAGCTGCAGGTGGGCACAGCCTGGGGAAACCCCCTGGGGGTGGAAGGGAGGGTCGCCCATTGGGATACTGAGGGATTCGTGCCCACTGCTGCCCCCCCTGCCCCAGGACACCCCGAGCAGCAACATCTGTTCTGGGACATGAGCTGGGTGCTGGAGTAAGGTCCTTATCCCCTCAATTGTTAGAATTTGGGAGGAGCTGCCACCCTGCATGGGGGTTCCTGGGGTCCCCTCCTTGTCCTGCAGCACTGAGAGCAGCGAGGAGCCACAGGGAGGGGTCTTGGGGGCAGAGAAGGGGTCTGGGATGGTGAGGGACCTTGGGACCTTCTCAGGGAGCACAGCCCCTGGCGCAGGGGATCCCCCCGTGTCAGACAGGATGGGGCAGATCTGTGCCAAGCACCTGGGTGCCACGGCCCCATGTCCCCTCCAGGCCCTGGCCCCCTCCATCGACTGGCTGGATTACCTGTCCTACGCCCTCGCCCCGCTGGAGCTGGCGGACACGGAGCCCGTGGTGGTGTACGGGGACACCTACCTCCAGCAGGTCTCTGACCTCATCAACGGCACCGACAGGAGGTGAGGGGCCCGTGAGCCCCCAGCCATACCTGATTTGTAGCTGCCCCCATGGCAGGGCCGCGTTTTGGGCTCACTGGTGGCTTGGAGGCTGGGGCATCCACATGGACCCTGATGAGCTGCAGCATCTCCCTGCCCCCACAGCATCCTGAACAACTACTTGATCTGGAACCTGGTGCAGAAGACAGCCTCCAGCCTGGACCAGCGCTTTGAGACAGCCCAGGAAAGGCTGCTGGAGACACTCTATGGCACCAGGAAGGTAATGGGGGGCCCTGGGACCAACTCCCTCTGCTCCCAGCCTGGAAGCAGCCAGGATCACATCTGCCCTTGGGATGCCCTTGGGATGCTGAGCCCTGGATGCTGCAGAGGGAATTCAGGGATCATCTTTCAGGATGGGGGTTTAGCTGCTGAGCATTTACCCCCTGGGGAGGGGGCAGAGCTGGACTGGGGGAAAGGAAGGGAGCAGGGGACAGGGCTAGGGGTCTCACAGACCCCCATCTTGCTCCCACAGTCCTGCACTCCCCGCTGGCAGACCTGCATCTCCAACACGGATGACACGCTGGGCTTTGCCCTGGGCTCCCTCTTCGTCAAAGCCACCTTCGACCGGGACAGCAAGGCCATTGTGAGGACACTTCTGCCCCTCACCCTCTCCCTGCCCAAGGGGCTGCAAGGGGCAGGGGGACTTCATTCCCTCCCCTCCCCAGGCTGAGGAGATGATCAGCGAGATCCGGGCAGCCTTTGAGGTGTCTCTGGACCAGCTGGACTGGATGGATGAGAAGACCAGGCAGGCTGCGAAGGAGAAGGTGACCCCAGGGAGGGAAGAAAGTGGGAGGCCTCCCCCATCACAGTAAGCCCCCCCACCCCCATCTCACTGCTAGGGCCTCTCCCCACACAGGCGGATGCCATCTATGACATGATCGGTTTCCCTGACTTCATCCTGGACAACAAGGAGCTGGACGATGTCTATGACGGGGTAGGGGGGCACCTGGCTCATGGGAAGGGGGTCTGGACCCTGCTCACACCAAGCCCTGGGGTGCCCCATGGGACAATATCCCTATTTGGGGGATGCATTTGCGATGGGGTGTGATATGAAGCCACCCCAGTACCGAACACATTCTGACTGGGGTGAGGGGAACCACCTGGGTGGACCCCTCTTCATCCCTCCTCTTCCTCACCAGTACGAGGTCTCGGAGGACTCTTTCTTCCAGAACATGCTCAACTTCTACAACTTCTCCGCCAAAGTGATGGCTGACCAGCTCCGGAAACCCCCCAACCGTGACCAGTAAGGAGGAGGGCCCAGGGTTGGGGGAGGAGCAGAGGATATGACACCAGCACAGTGTCACTGCAGTGTCCCCAGCATGGCCTGGGTGGCACTGGCTCACCAGGGGGAAGGTCCACCTATGGGGTAGCACAGCATTGTAGGTCACCTGTGGTGGCTCTGGCTTGTCCCTGGGACAGGGTCCCTTGGTCACGGGGTGGGGGCAGCAGTGCCAGCCCTGGGCAGGGCAGCACGGAGGAACCATGGTGGGAGATGGCACAGGAGGGTGGCAGGGTTGGGGGGAGAGGGGACATATGTCCCTGTCCCACCTCCCTTCCCCAGGTGGAGCATGACCCCGCAGACCGTCAACGCCTACTACCTGCCCACCAAGAATGGGATCGTCTTCCCTGCCGGTATCCTGCAGGCTCCCTTCTACGCCCGCAACCACCCCAAGTGAGCCTGGCATGGGGATGGGGGGCGTCCCCTGAGAGTGGGGAGGTGTGGGCTACATCAGGGGAAGCACCCCACAGAGCCCTTACAGTCATGAATCAAAGCCCTGGGGGGCTCGAGGGTCCCTCGAGGCTTTACATCCTGCAGGCAAGACAGGCTGCAAAGTCCCGGTGAGGCCACCAGTGTCCCAAACAGGGCTTATTCCCCAATGGGTGCCAACCAGTGCAGGGTCTCTCTGGGTGCTCCTGGACACAGTCAGTGTGCCCAGGCTGCCAAGGGGGTCCCTGGGCCAGGGTCATGCTGCAACAGCATCGTCTCCCCACACTTACCTGGCTCTCTCCTGTGCCCCACAGAGCCCTTAATTTCGGCGGCATCGGTGTGGTGATGGGGCATGAGCTGACCCATGCATTTGATGACCAAGGTGAGAGCCTGTGGGCAGCACCAGCCCCATCATCTTCCTGTCCCCCCTACCAGGCCCCCCACCAGCTCCCTGGCCTTGGTGTGGGGAGGGGGTGCCATGGGCACGGAGGGGTCCCGCTTTGCCATCCATTGCATCATGCGTGCTCGTGCCCCCCTGGCCACCCCCCCCTTCTATCGTCCTGTCTCCCCAGGTGGCACCCGCCGATACCTCCCCCCGGCTTCTCTGTGCAGCTTTCGCTCCATCCGCTTGGTGAGGACACGGTGTCTGCAGCCCCGGCCCCCTCCTCATCCTCCTCCCCGTGGGGCACGGGATGGGTCCCTCTCGCATCCACTCTGCTTTGCACCTTCACCACAGCCCTGGAGCCGAGATGGGGTCGATGGGGGAATTTGGGGTGACAAATCCAGCTTGGGACAGTGGGGATGCACCAGGGGATGGCTAGGGACACAAGTGCATGGCTGGAGCCCGCCCGGAGCAAGGGCTGGGAGTCACCATCTCCCCTGGGCATGGACGCAAGGTGCCAGGTCGCCCAGTGTCCCCTGGGGCTGTCCCCACCGCACCCCACCTTGCTTTGGGATCCCCTGCAGCAGGGAGTGTGCAGGGGACTGGCATACCCTGGTCCCACCCCACGGCTCGGTCCCGCAGGGCGAGAGTATGACAAGGAGGGCAACCTGCGGCCATGGTGGCAAAACTCCTCCCTGGAGGCCTTCAAGAACCGGACAGCATGCATGACGGAACAGTACGGCCGCTACACCGTCCACCGCGAGAAGGTCAATGGCCGGCAGACGCTGGGTGAGAACATCGCCGACAACGGCGGGCTCAAGGCAGCCTACAACGTGAGTGCCACCATCCTGAGGGGACATGGACCCTCGTGCCTGTCTGCCCCTCCCCGGGGCTTCAGGGTGCCTCTCCCACAGGCATACAAGTCCTGGCTGCAGAAGAACGGGGAGGAGAAGCGCCTGCCAGCCCTGGGGCTCACCAACCACCAGCTTTTCTTCGTGGGCTTCGCACAGGTAGGGCTTTACGGGATGCTGGGTTCCCCATCCCTCCCCAGACCCTTGGAGCCACTTCACAGTCCCCCATTCCCCCCAGGGAGGGCTCTGCCCCCCATCCCTGAGGCTGCTCGCCCTCCGGCAGGTATGGTGCTCCGTCCGGACACCTGAGAGTTCCCACGAAGGGCTGGTGACTGACCCCCACAGCCCTGACAAGTATCGCGTCATCGGCACCCTCAGCAACTCCCGGGACTTTGTCGAACATTTCGGCTGCCCGCTGGGCTCCCCCATGAACCCCGGCAAGCACTGTGAGGTGTGGTAGGGACGGGGAGGGTCCTGGGGACAGAGGGGACAGTGCTCTGCTGTGCCCCCCTGCCCAAACCTTGCTGGCTGCTGGAGCTGGCCCATGAGCAGAGAGTGGGGCCACCTCCCAGGTCACCTTCCGTCACGGTCCCTGCCTCGTGCACACACCGCGCGCCACCCCGCCCCACCTCT